GATAAAGATTTTTTCAGTGATAGTTTTTGAGACCTGATGTACTTTCTCTTACTGTAAGATACAGGGGTGTTACAGTCGGTATAGTTGTCTAATTTATCGGTTCTCTTTCTCTTTAAGCTAAAGTCTGATTTGAACAAACTTAGTGAAGGTGAGTCGTCAAAGTCAGTAAAGTCCATACCAAGTCCGGAATCTTCGTCGAACAAATGTTTTATAAAGTCTGGAGTTTTGGGAATTTTATGACAGTTATCTCCTGTTGAACAATCCATTACGTTAACTGAAATAAAGGAAAAACAATGAAAACATTTTTTTCTAATACATTTTGTTTATTTTTGGATTGCATGAAAATCATTCAAATAATTTCATAATAACAAAAATGTAATGGTCGGAATTAAAAACATACTAGCACGAGATACAAGTAGAATTATTAAACATGCCGAGCCTTTTCAACAAATAAGGCTTCTATCCGAAACTGTATATGATTATATCTTTTATACTTTTATGGTAATACCGTCGTATACTGTAACCTCGCTCTCAAACCTTTTATAATATCTTTGGTTTTCTATACTCGGTAAGTTTCGAGCGTTCATCATGATTGTTTGTCCTGAAAGTCGAGAAATGCGCACGAAAATTTTGAATTTAAAAAACAATGCAGCTGAACTTACGTTATTTACGTTAATAGCGTGTAAGCATCAAAAGCTTTAAAATTGAAAATAAATGCGTTGTATTATATAATAATTAAACACAAATATTTTTAACCAAATTACATTGCTACAAAAACAGTTCAAAAATAAGGAGATGTGGTATGATTGCCATCGCGACAACTAACCACCAGAGTCCAGATTATATTATAGGTCACGAAACGGCTTCCGACAATGAACAAAATCCATGTCGTGTAGTCTTTTCATGCTTAGTTATATAAATGATATCCTTATTACACACAATTATGTATATCTGAAATAAGTTGAAAATATCTTGCAATGATAATCATTTTTTATAAATAAACTTACTTTTTTCGAACATTTTAATTGTGACCAGACAGTATTAGTATTGGCAGATTTCAAACAGAAAATGACCAGTGTTGTTATCGACAACTGTTTTATATTCTCAGCGGAAAACAAATCCCAATTACATCTAAACATTTGTATAACCCTTTCAAGGTGAAAACTTACTAAAACGGCTGATACTGGATTTTTTAAAATTGGGATCGTAGTAATACAGTGGACACCCCATATTTCATTATCAACAAACAGCTTTTATTTGCCAGTCGTAATTCCATCGTAAAAAAAATAGTATCGTATTCACTAAAATACAACAACATTTTGTTTTCCGATGCAAATCTTGGCTGAATTTCTGTCACCAATTCAAGCGGGTAAAAACGAATATTTCCCATTGTAGCCGTTCCTCTTCTGTGCATCTACAAAATATCGAATGTGTTAACTCAGTTGAATTCTTTTGTAATATTGAACACATTAACACTATTCAATAATGAAAATTAGAGAAAAATATAAAGATTTACTCTTAATTTTACCGTTTAAGATATCAATTCCTTGAAATTTGAAATGTTGCATTTTGATCTTGTACAGAAAAAAACGTTTGTTGCATTTAACTTTATACTTTAAAAACAGAAAAAATACTCGGAGAGTTTCTACAATAATATTGTGGTTTAATAGAATAAATAGTTCAAGAAACTGAAATGATCAAAATGGCATTTTCGGTAGATTATTTGATTGTCCGTTGTTATAATTTGAATATAGTACCAATAAATAGAATTTGAGGGAGTATAGATAACATTTTAATAGGCTTGTGATAAATATTGGGCGGGGTTTTAAATCAATTTACAAGAGAAACGCGTAAAATTAGCGAATTCATTCACCGTTGTTATATGTCCAGTGACAAATATAACAGTTATATCGGCAGTGCAAATGACGGCGTTTATCTTGAAATGTTAGAATTAAATTAAAAAGAAGTTTTCCACTTAGGTTAAAGAAATACAAAACGGAATCCAGAAATATTTTTAATCATGCGGGGTTATGTTTTTAAACCTTTTTTCCTTCCTTAAAGCTTTCTGATAATAGGGAAGAATGAAAAATACTTTCAGTTTGATTGTATTGCTATTTAAGCATGTTAAAACTCATCTAAAAAAAAATGCATAAAATTTTTGTTCGTTGTAATGAACAAAGGGAAAGAAAAATGTTCGTTATGCATGAAAAACTGTTTTCTTGTTAAATTTGATTTCATCGGATAGAATGGTTTGAAATATAGAATCACATTTTGTTTCCGATATGACATAATCAAGCACACCCTTATTAGTTAAATAACCTAGACTAGAATGGTACATACCTGGAAATTTATTCTAGTTGTACCATTTTGTTTTTCTCAGACGATTCTACTTCCAATATTTATCAGACGAAAAACACACATAATCCATTAGCATATATGCATAAATACTAGTTTTTTTCTTCTCCCGAAATACCACTTAAAGACATAAGTATCCTTTCAACCCCACTACAAGAAAGACATGCGTATCCAATGACTAAAAACGTAAATCTGGATGAACTTTATTCAAGATCTTTTTATGGTAATAACATGTATTCTGCTTTCATAAATACATCGTTAAGTGAGTAGATGGTCAGCTTGATCTTAATTTTTTCCGGATTATTGGGTACAACACGGGGGAAATGAAAAGAAAACCATTACAAAATGAAATAAAAAATGTTTTAAATGTTTGTTCTGAAGATTCGTTCTTAATATTTAAGGTGTATTTTAAGTCAGCGAAAGTCCAAAAAAACTGTTAATTCCTTGGACATAATGGGCGTCGGCCCTACGGGCCTCCGCTCAATTATTTCCCAGGAATGGACAGTTATTTAAATTGGACTTTCTCTATAACGTAACTTAAAAGGTTCTTACTTTCTGATATATATATATACTACCGAGCGAATCGAGTTAAAAGATTTTATGCTAAAAATGACAAATGTTCCAATCAAAAGGACTCCTTACGCTCCCCACCCTTAATCCGCCACTGTAAACATTCAAAATGTTTGGTATATTGTGATTTCCATCATTTTCCTTTGGAAGTAAATGAGATATTAAGCATTGGAGTCAAAAGAAATCCAACCGTTATTAATAAGGAATAGGGATTTCATTTAGGTTTCTCATCTCGACAGTTTCGTTCAACATGTTTAAGTTTGTATTTTGACTAACCTTATAGTCCTCCATGTAGTATACTAATACACGTGATTTCCCTGTAACAACTTATTCGTATAATTGTAGGCTGCTACCTATTCAGATTGTTATGGTAAGTGGAATTAGGATTTACACCCCAGTTCTATTGTTATACTTCAAAGTTTCTATTTCTGAAACAAGTGTAAATTGCATAAATCTATTGTTACGACTAACAATGGATTTTGACCACAGGGTGTGACGAGCGGCGTTTCTGGAAACCCCTGCTTCTACATCCCGCAAACAATGTCCATTGTTATTCGTAACAATAGAAATTGATTATTTTTTAAATAGCATGAACATAAGAAATTACTAATAGTGTTCACTACAAATTGTTTCATGATATTAAAAAAAAACACATTTTAGGAAATTCCAATAAGCATCTATATGGAATACAAAAATAATCCTTTAAATACTCTTAATTTTGCTTGAAGGTAATTTGTTTTATCCCAGTCATATGTCTCTATTCTAAAGCATTGATCTTTAAAAAAATGGGGATTCTAACTCCCGTAACCCCCCACCCACCCCCACCCCTCGATTACCCAGTTCCGCGGGTTTGACCCGACTTTTTTTAAAAAGATAAATGCATTTGAATGGTTGGACCCCCTTTTTCTCTTGAGTTGGGAACCCCCGGCTGGATCAGACCCTGATTGCAACCCCCCCCCCCCCCCCCCCCCCCACCAAAGGGAGTTCCTCAATATTAAATATTGTATGTTGAGCGTGTCTGGTAGTCGGGTTTCTAATGCAGACACACATATCCCTTAGTATGTTCGAATATGAATGTTTGTTTATTCTCGAGAAGAGGGGGGGGGTTTGATAAAGTCGTAAGATATAAAATACAGTTATGATTACCTTTATTATACTGATACAGGTAAGTACTTTGGGTTATAATATTGCCTTTATCTTAAACCTCTTCTACCAAATCCAATGCTTGACACAAAATGTCGTCCGTCTTTTACCCGTCCATATTGACAACTGTATACCAGGAGCATGATGTATTTTTTGTTTGTAATAAGAATAGTATTATTACACGTAACACTCAACCTTGACCTGCTGATCCATATTAGCACATGGATTTAACGGGAATATGCAAAACAACTTGACATTTGTAAAATATACTCACTTGTCAAAGTTTGAACGAAGATAACCAAAGAAAGGTTACTAGTGGGGTTTCATGTAATAAAAAATATTCTTATAAATCATGGTTTGATATTGTCAATAAATATGCTATCGTTTTTTTTTTTTTTCATTTAATAATCAATGTTAACAAATATAGGGTTTAGAATGGGGTGTAAATTAGTTATACACCTCGGGATACGGGGTGTCTGGATAAGAAGCCCCTCCGGCCTCTGGCCGACGGGGTTTCTTATCCAGACACACCTATCCCTCGGTGTATAACTATTACTGAAATCTATTTTCTTTTCACGATAAGTATAAAAGGCAAATCTTTATACAATAAAAAGAGATGAATGCGAAAAATAGGAAGATCTAGAATGGCGAAATAAATTTGAAAAAGTTTGGGTATAATCGTTTGTCATTCATTATGTTTTGACAACGTTAGAAATAGCGATAAGGTAACATATTTTTACATCTTTGAAAAAATAAAAATGTATGGAAATTATTTTTTTAAAACAATAATTTCGTATTTTTTAAATGTGCATTTGATTGTATTTTAGATAACTCCTTCCGTATTTCTATACTGTAACATATGAACAGACTGCAGAGTATCAGGTTATATTTCTCGTGTTGCGTTTATAAATAATATTTTTTTTGTCTTCCTAGTACCTTTTTCAGCACCAGACATCATTGAAAAAGGTTTGTTTTAGTTGTTGTTATTTGTTATATTTTTTTTGGGGGGAGGGGGATTTTTTTAAAAGGGTATGTTGTTCCATGAGAAGTTTTATATGTAATATTTTGATGAATTGTTGCAAGTTAACGTCCAGTCACGAATATTCTATATACATTCAGAAAAAGATACATAAGATATAATAGGTATAACTTGGTATAAATGCGGGCACTTGGATAGCACATTAGGGCGTCATTGTTAGGTCCATAAATATTGCCTGGCAGCAAACAAACTTTATCACTAGAAATTGTTGTAAGGGTTCTTTGACGTGCAGAACTAGCGTGACATTTTAGTTAAACGACCATTTAACGTCCCATTGCAACCGGACATGTTTTCCAATCAATACATCCACACGACCAATCGGACGGAGAAAAGGGGGGGGGGGGGTTGTCGGCAAGAGTCATTTCAATTTCTATGTATTGGGTTACCATCATAGAATCGTAATTTATTTTGGGGACCGCTTTTTTAATCATCCAATATAATATCATTTGCCACCAAACCCTTGTTATTTATAAATGAATGAAGAATTGTATTACAACTTATTGCTATTTATGCCAATCCGGATAGGTTCTAAAATTACACTTTTGTCAAACCAGTTAAAGCTATCGGGAGCCGTGTTCAAACAATATATTGTGCATAAAACTTTGCATACAGGCATGTTAAAACCATCGTAAACACTTCAAACAAAGCATTTTTTATGAATTTAATTTGTTTTTAAAAAAATGCTTCATAAACTATCAAAATTTTAAAATGTTCACCTTTCAAACTTTTCCCTCCCTAGCTCAGCTCATTGCTGATGACCTTTGTTTTGCAACATTTGACTCAAACAGGAAGTTGTATAAATGACTGGTTTTTTTTCTGGAATGGACTAAATAGCAATAAGGTGTATTGATTATTTGACTGTTATCAGATACATTTTAGGATAACACAATTTACAATATGCCTTCATTATATCTGCTAAATTGATATCTTTGTGTACTTTAATCTTATTTCTATTAATAGAAGTACAATTTTATTTTTATATTATTAGAAGTACAATAATTATTTTATTTCTATTATTAGAACCCTAGTCACTTTATTTTTTTCTAAAGAGGTGTATTAGAGAGCAGCATATGAGGGTATTGATGGAAGGGGTCTTTATTTCTCTATTCTATTTCTTGTTTCTATTACTAGAAGTATAATTTTATTTTTATATTAGTAGAAGTACAATTTTATTTCTATTATTAAAAGTACAATTTTATTTCTATTATTAGAAGTGCAATTTTATTCCTATTATATTAGATGTACAATTTTATTTCTATTATAAGAACCCTATTCAATACATTTTTTTTCTAAAGAGGTGTAATAGATAGCAGGATATGAGGGTATTGATGGAAGGGGTCTTTATTTCTCTATTCTTTATTTCTTAACACATGACTTAGGCAAAATCTCTTTGTTCTATTATGCTATAATCTGAACAATGCACACCTAAGGTGTACATTAATTACATGTTTGTACCTCCGATATACTGTTCAAATGTACTCTTATCTTTAGGGGTGGATCCAGGATTTTTCAAAGGTAAAGGGCGTAGTTCCATAAAAAAAAGTTTTACAACTTTAGAATTAAACATTATATATTTTCCAATCAAAGGGGGCGTATCTTCGCCCCCTCCCATTTGAATCCGCTACTGACCTAGCAATTATTGAATAGTTGATCAATTAACAATTTTTTTACACACTTTGTCGTTTCAAATTATGAAATAGAAAGTGCGCCTAATTCCTTAGAACACTTTGATGACATTATGTGTACAATTTAAATCTTAAATCAGTGTTTCAAAGTCAAACAAGATAATTTTTTCCCGGTAATTTCTTAAAATATCCAAATAGTTGAATCCTTATTTGGATTAGTTTTGTTCTCAATGGAAACTATTACGACTTTTTATGTATCAATTAATTTTAAGTGACCATTTTTGGATCGAATTGAATGAGGTTTATATTCTAGTACTAGTATGTGCCAAAACAGAAACAAAATATACTAGTATTAAAGTTGGAGATCATTCAGACTTCGTTTAGATGGAACATGCCTTCACAATGGATAAAGATGAAAAATTATTGGGGAGGGGGGAGTTAAAGATTGAAAAGTGAAACGTTTTTTGTTTTGTTTATTTTGCACTTTAAGTACCTTTCTCTTCGATTAATTTTCTTCTGAGCATTTAATTGAGGGAAAGAAAAGCAATTAATCTTTACTCAATAACCCTTTCATTTTTTATGATTTGTCATACACCGACTTAAAAGTACATCAAACGGAACTAAAATGAAGGAGATGTTGGTTATACGCCAATAAGACAGCAATCAAACTACAAAAAACACATAAGTAGATCTTGAGGGCAATATATAGTGTTCAATAAAAGACATGTGTCTAAACAATATGTCAAGTTATAAATCGTTTATGTCGGTTCAAAAGCTCACTCATATAAGAGCTTATGTTGTTTTGTTATTTATCTTGCCGACTTAAAAGAAAACTTATTTGATTTGATTTGATCGTCACGAAATTTTATAAAAATTGTGAATAATTTAACAGAAACAATCAAAGATCTGCCATTAAAACACAATTCTCCAAATACTGTAACAATTTAGGAGAAAGCCTGAATATCAAAAAAGTTATAATTTAAAAGTTAGCAACCTTTTACTACTTAAATGCATATTTCCCCCCTTTCTTTACCCTACAGGAAAACATTCACAGGAGCCCTGCTTGAATATCGTCCGATTATTTCCAAAACGTTCATGTAAATTGATGGCGCCATGAGTTGAAACAGTTATTGGCCAATCAAATCGATATATATATATATATATATTTATAAATAAGTCTAAATTGAAAACAACGTTAAAACCTATGATTGCGTTGGATAAAAACCGCAATTTTTATACGTGTGCATGCAAAACAAATTTCTTGGTAGAGGGGTCTAAACACAGTACAAACAACATTTTCCAAAAGACCAAAAAAGTGAAAAAGTATATTTTAACAAAACGCATTTGACTAACAGGTCGAACAACAAATGTTCTTAAACCCTGCTGACTGCCATTGGCGATTGCCAAATAAACGGATCACCGATGTAATAAATGGATCTTAATTTTAAATTTAATACTAAATAGAAAACAATAAACTTGCGGAAAAGATGATATACCGCAAACAAAAGGTGCAAAGGTTTTTGTACACCATATCCGGATTTCGACAATTAATGTCTCTTCAGTGATGTTAGGAATCGAAACGGTATTTGGAAGGCCATATAATTTACCTCAATTTAGGATAGACTCATGAATTTTAAAGAGTCGAAATAGGATGAACGGATCATATAAACCCTAAGGCAAATATAATACAAGCCCAAACGAAAAAATATAAATAAGTCTAAATTGAAAACAACGTTCAAACCTATGATTGCGTTGGATAAAAACCGCAATTTTTATACGTGTGCATGCAAAACAAATTTCTTGGTAGAGGGGTCTAAATACAGTACAAACAACATTTTCCAAAAGACCAAAAAAGTGAAAAAGTATATTTTAACAAAACGCATTTGACTAACAGGTCGAACAACAAATGTTCTTAAACCCAGCTGACTGCCATTGGCGATTGCCAAATAAACGGATCACCGATGTATTAAATGGATCTTAATTTTAAATTTAATACTGTTATATATAAACGCCTAAAAAGTGTACACACCAACACCAATAACAAAAAAAGGAACTATAAATGTAATTATTTATAAATATTTCGGATAACAGATATCCTTCATCAGTTAATATGAGTGTGATGTTGAATGAATCATATACAGTCTACTTAGATTAAACTATAACAATCTTGAAATTTATACAATAAAAAAGTCAAACCGAACATCAGGTAAGACGATTGCACAATTCTAAATATGTGTTAAACACGACATAGGTTATATGACCAATTACAACAGAGTTCAAATATATGCTTTAAATAAAAATAATAATGTGCGATATGAACTAGCACAATTCTAAAGCTTTAACGGTGACGACAGTTATGATGTTTCAAGAACGATTGCGTCAATAAGAATTCCAAATAAACAGCACTGAACGATCTAAATTTGTAAATATTTCAAATTTGACAACGGTAGAGTAGTTACAACAGAGTCTGCGTATTTAAACATCGCAAACAAACGGCCGTTAAAATATAATAATAAATTTTGACTAAGGTTAACTAGTTGAACGTGGCTTGGTACTTTTACATCCCTCAAAAAATTAAGCAATTTAAATTGGTATATTCAACAGATTTATTTTAGAGATGAGTAAGGTAAAGAAATAGAAACAGAGACTGTAATAATAAGTAATATAACCCAAATGTGAAGCACTGCATGGAGTCGAACTACATCTTTTCATTTATCCCATTTGGTGCCAAAGTTGTTAGTTTTCTTATCCAAAATCTTTCCCGAGTGAGTCTATCCTCCCTAGACCAAGCAGAGTTGTGGTCAATGATTGTAATGGTCAGTCGATTGAGATCTGCCTTAGTGTAACCAGGGGATCTCAAATGTCGACTGAGAGGGAGGTCTGGCTTGCATTGGTAGTCGCTACGATGACCGTTCATTCGTTTGTGAAACGGCTGTTCTGACTCGCCAACATACTGTTTACCACATTTACACTGTAGGAGATACACAACATTTGTAGTCTTGCAATTAACATTGCAAAATATGGTGTATTCTGTACCAGTTGATTGACTGTCAAAGGTCTGGGTAACCAGTATTTGTTTGCAAGTCAGACATCGTTTGTTTATATGTATATATATATATCATTTAATCTGCACGGTCGGGATGACCCATTAACCCGAATTCTTCCGTCGTTCGGGTCAAGTAGGGTCACCCGAGCATTGCAGATTAAATGACATATACCGACTTGTGTGGTCAATAACTATAACTTAAACGATTTTTTCTCGATTCGTTGGCCTATTATTCTGTGTTCTTAATTAAAAAAAAAACCCTTTAATTCTTGATTTGTTCTTTAAACTAATTTTTCTCTATTTTTTTAATTTTTATTTTGGGACCATAATTCTTTATTCGGTAAACGCAATCCAGACCAACGCATATCTATTTAATGACATGACTAAAATGTCTTTCAGATCATACAGTTCAATGCGATTGGTCGATAATATTAGACACATAAGGGTTCTGAGTAGAGAGGTTCGTCCCTTCTCTGCACTCTTACTATAAAAGGAATGTTTATAAAAACATGTGGGGTCTCATCTGCTTAGTTTTTTGTTTGATATTTCATAGGCATGATTAATCGTATATATATTTATAAATTTACCGCAGATAATTTATAGAATTGTACAAAATAACTTTTGGTTGCAACTTTAAAAGATAAAGATGACATAAGATTATTTTCACTTCTCTTTCTAGTAGGTCATTTTATACAGTTCAGCGTGTATCTATCTCCATTTTAGCTTCACATAACGGTGAGAAGTTATTAGTTTCAGATAATATACACGCCATCTTGACATTATACTTCAACAAAATTCAGTTCTGATTGGTTGTTTAATGGTGTGGCTATAAATCTATGTCTGATAATTTTTAAGAATTGTACACAAAAACTTTAATTGCAACTTTAAAAGACAAAGACGACATGATTGTTTTCATTTTTCTTTCTACTGGGTCATTTTATGCAGTTCCACGTATATTTATCTCCATTTTAGCCTCACATCACGATGAGAAGCTAATAGTTTCAGACAACATACCCGCCATCTTGAAATAATAACACAACAAACGTTAAAATTGTGATGTCTTAATTTTAGCTATATGTGTTCTGATAACGGTTCAATAAAGAAATGAGCACCAAACACATTTTTAAAACTTAGTTTAAAATTGTTTTTTTATTATCGATTTAACAGGATGATGTTGTCTATATTTTTTGTGGTTCTTGGTTTTGTTTCTGTGATCAAATCAGAACATTGTCTTAGACAGAAGGAACAATCACTTATATCAAGTATACGGTCAACTTTGAAGACGTTAGAAGAAGATTTGGCAGGTAATATCTTTTAAAAATTTAAATTTTATATTGTAATGGAAAAAAAAGATCCATAGCGTATTCATTTGCGGTAAAATAAAATCCCTTCACTATCTAAACATGCTAAACAAACCCCAAAAAACAAAGGATCAGTGCTTTTGTTATTTTTTTGTATCAAATGCACTATAAATGGCATTCAGTATTTATACCTACGGTTAGGTGAAGCTGTTATACTGTTTTACTACCGTCTTTCCGTATTTAAGTTTTTCTGCCCACATGTTCTTCCGTCCGTCGCTTCGTCCGGTCAATAAAATTGTCGTCATACTTTTCTAAGAAAATACCAATCAGATCATCCTTTTATTTGGTATCGAGGTTTATGTGAGCAGTCCTTATCGTGTATTGCATTTGCAATGTTCATCAACTTCCTGTTTTCCTAATACTTATATTTCTACTAATAGTCATGCATCAAAATTCTCATCAAACAAAACAGAGCACCCTGAATTATGAATCAAGCTTTATGTGAGGATGCTACAAATGTATACTGTATGGTGTGATTTCACATGAACTACTCATCAATTGTATTTTTACCGATAACCAGTTTTTGGGTGTCACTTGTTTTGTTTTGTTTTTTTCTTTTAATTTTTCTTTTTAATTAGACTGTCTTTAATCTTTCAACGTATTATAATTGAATTAAATACAGTTATATAGATGTTCCCAAGTCAATACATAAACATGTCAGCATCATGAGCATGGTCAGATATATGTATCAGTAATTCAATACTGTTGCCTAAATATTTGCTTTCGGTTTTAAAACGTCTCAAATTTTAGAAATTATATTACATAAACTGTCAGAACTCAACCTGCCTTATTTTGGAATTTTCTCATTGAAATTTATTTATGTATTGTGTTCTTGGTACAAAAGTGAATGGTTCAGAGTATTCTGTAATATGTGTAAGGTTTATAATTTGGTTAATTTGTGAAAATGCGTATTTCATTTTTATTTTTATTTGCGAATGTGCAATTCCAAAGTTTCTTTAACAAAGAAGTTACAAAACGTTAAAAGTTTTATAATCAATTTGTCAGAAATCATGTATATATATGTATAAATCTACCTCAATAATTAATTACCGAAAACAGGTAAATATGCGGAGTGCCAAACAGGATGGAAGGAATACAAGAATCATTGTTATTATTTTTCAAGTGATACGAAAACTTGGCATGAGGCTGAGGTATGTGTTCATTTTGCTTTAATTATTTGCAATTTTTATACGTTGAACAAAATAAGAATGCGAGTTGTTTTTTTAAAGTAAGGTTTAACAACACCATAACTTTTTTCTAAAGATATATATAACAAATACATAAGTTGGTTAATGCCGCAACCAACCAGTAATTACACTAAGTATGTATTATGGGAGCAAGAATTGGTAAAGTGTACCCCTTCATATTTTTTTCCTGAAAGTAATTGAAATAAATAACATTCTTCTCAACCGGTATAGTTACTTCGACTTTTTTATTCGCCAAAGAATGGTTTTCTATCATGTTGTCTATATAGAGTCAGGGAAATAAGATTCACATACTCGCGAAAATAAGTACGGTGACTTGTAATTTGTAATCAAAGGAGGAAGTTTGATAAGAGCCATTTTTTGATCCCTGAAATTGAAAAAAAATTAGTAAAAGTACTCATGCCTTTCAAAACATGTTAATCTCATTGATAAATGAACAGGTTGATTTAACCCGGACAATTTAGTGCAGAAAAATCACTTGCGATGTCATCAACATATTTGAGCTAAAATGACCCGTGTACACCACAGGGATGAACGTTGCTCTACGTAAAATGTATCACAAGGAAGAATCTCGTTTTGTCATGTGAAAGTTTAGATACTATTACAACATTGGCATTAAAAGATATGAACATTATTATTTTGGTACCTGTAAAGTGCGAAACGAAATAGAAACGGAACGGAACAAAACAAAACGAAACGAAACGAAATAGCGCAAAACGAAACGAAATGAAACGAAATAAATATTTATTTTATAATTTTTACTTAAATCTCTGCCAAATGTCTTATAATACAGTATTTTTGTGTGTTGCAAAGTTTGCATGCATCTGAATTTCTTTGTTTTAGTTGGAACAAATCAAATGAAACCGGCAGAGGGACGAACGTTTATTTTCAGGGTGGGTCGTACATACCGGTGCTTACTGCCTAAGTGTTTAGTTTTCACGCGTCGTTTTGAATGATAAAAGTTTTAACGGTAAAATATTACCCTAAAAAGAAAAGGGGTGGCACACCTGAGATAAATAATATAAATGGGACTGTATTTTAGAACTGGGATATTGAGGACAAGCACGTGGTTCTATAACTAAATGAAGGCATACACAGACGTGCCGCTGGAATGGGTCCCCTTTTTATATCTAAATTGTATTAATGGCATACACTGAATTTCACTGAGGTCAAATATTAATGGGTCAGTAATTTTTATCCTCCGAATTATACTTGATGTTTGTTTAAAAGATGAATCCATGTCCGTAAACGGAAAATACTAGTTCATTATTTCCTAGCAATTTGCAATTTACTATCCATGTCTAAATTCTAGGATTTTTTCAATATACGGACATAGATAGTAAATTGCCCACTGCTAGGAAGCAATGAACTTTGATTTTTCAGTATAGGACATGCATATTAAATTGCACATTGCTAGAACACTATATAAACAACACATGGCTGAGAGGGTGATAGAGCAGATTGTTACTCAGAGAAAATATTGTCAACTGAGTCGAAGCCAAGGTTGACAATGTCTTTTCGAGGGGTAACAATCTGCTCTATCACCCTCTCAGATATGTGTTTTTTAATTCATTATACTGAATGTTCTGTTATTACTGTCTAAATTTCAAATTCAAAGTAATAAACTATGACGTCTTGTACATAACAACCATCCGTATTTAATAAAGTGCACACTTGATCAAGCGTCTCCGTGAAGGGTAATAGAGCATTTACCATAGGATAGAGTAAATTGTCTCCCTCGTATTAACCAATCAAAATCTGGCATTTTGACATACAGTATAATAAAATGAAATATCCGTACTAATGTTGAAATCGTTATACAAATAGACAGGAAATACGAAAACAGTTCAAAAAACATTGCATAACAAATATATCCGCGAAACGTATATATATTTATAAAGTTGCATATCACGTATGTTTACATCATTGTTGTTTTCAGACCTGAAGAATTCTCATAAAACTTATCTGGTGCATCTATCTCCTCTACAAAGTTATATTCGTATTTAGCAGTCTGTGCCCCCAAAAAAACCAACCACTTATAAAGTTACTATCTTACTTAACTCCGAGATTGTATCAACTATGGAATATGTATTATAGATGGCCTGCTCATTATTGCCTATTCAAAAATATAACTGAAAAGTATGTTAGTGTGGTCGACACGTTGCTTAATGCTGTATATCATATATGACAGAAACGCAACATGAAATTTCATTGAAATGTAACCATTTTTCTAAGAGAAAAGAAAAGTATGCCGTTAAATGGCTACTCAAATGTTCCTAAACCGCATTTTTCTTCACCCGTAGACTGTACTATAGCTATATACAGTAAGATTTCTATGTATTCGCACACTCGGCGGAGGAAAGGAGATTTAAATCCAAGATAAATTCCACTTCAATGGGTTTTATTTTTCGGAATTTTAGCAATTTCTGCTTATTATCGCGTGCATAGCGGAGAAGTTGATCTCACTGAGAATAGCATCCATGGCGTACTCAAATCCTTAATTGATTGGAATTATAAAACCCGACCCGAAATAATCCGATTGAATTCACTAAAAAGATCAGAAATTATACAGCATTTGCATATTTAATTAAAGAGACCCTAAAGTATCAAGAAAATGAACAGATCATACCCTAAATTATCCGAATTTAAATTGACATACATCCAATAAAATTTTACTTAGACAAACATGTGACAAAAGGGAATTTGCATAGAATTACATAACACGTACCCGAAATCTGACATTCTGACAAAAAGGTGATCTGAAATCTGTTTCAAAGACCACTGCAGACCCGAAAGACCAATGCCAACCTGAAATTTCTTGAAACTCACAAAACTGCCCAGAATTTTCCTCACATAAACAAACAATGGTTATTCCCAAACCCTCCCAGTTCACCCGAGAAGACAACCATCACTCGTAACCAACCTAGGTCTACACATCCATACCTAGACCTGACAGCAAAAAAAAGCGTAAGCAATGATCTATTAGTAATGCTTTCGATCGATTTGGGTGACTCGCGGCTTAACGTCAGCCCGGGAGCAAATATTTCATGTTCACGACAACAAATAAACCAACATCACGAAGTGTAATGTTCTTTACCTGTAAATATAAGCCGAATGTAAACCTGCTCACACAAAAACAGTCCACAGAAAAACATTCTAACTACTCAACCATATCCCGAAAATCCCACTTTTCGAATCCATATACACCAGTTCACACTGTCTTTCCCTATATTGGTACATATAAAGACATTGTTGAGCGGTGACATTTTAGTTGAAATTGTAAAAAAAATATTTATTTCGTTTCATTTTGTTTCGTTTTGTTTTGCTCCGTTCCGTTTTTATTCCGTTTCGCACTTTACATGTACCCTAATTACTCTCGTAAAACTCAAAGTCATCCTACATACGACTCACGAAGGTTCCAGTTTGATTTGACATTGTAGTTTTCTTCATTCGTGAAAACTAAATAATAATATACCATACGTTTTAATCTATTTGACTACTTCTGTGTCATTCTGAACAGTAAGACCAAGACCAATTTATAAAAATGTCGACCAGGTGTTGCTCCATTACCTTTTGGAAGATTGAGCTATTATGCATCTGTCATATGTATCTGAAATCGGTTCTTTTATGATTTTCAAGAAAATATGCAGAAATATGGGCGGGTATCTTGTACAGATTACAGACTCCTCTGAAAATTCATGGGTTGTGACCATTTTGACAAGTAAGTCATGTTTAGGTAAAAAGTTATCATTATAGTTTATGAAGTTTAATAAGCTATCTACAAACTTGATAAATAAAATGGAATAGCTAGTGGATTTTATTTAAAGCCTAATGACAAACATCGCATGCATGTCAGGAAGATAATATGTTAATGTGGTATAAATATAAATCTTTCTTTGCATTAGACCGTCACGCTGAGATATGGTTTCTTTCTTCATGCAAGTTCACAAGACAAAGTACAGTCCGCAAGAAGAAAAGGCTGATCTACATGTACCCGGACACAACGTTCTGGCTCCAGAGCCATAAAACTTATATTTTCTGAGAAAAAAAATATACTCAGAATGAATTATATTACTCAGCTAAGAATGACAACTTTTTCTCTACCACAAAACAATATACTCAACATTGAGAATATTCTCAGCTGAAATTTTTTTCTCAGCGATGTAAACGATAAACGGGTGTTTGAAAACTAGAAAAGTGTACCAAACTTCGCGAATGCAGGTGAGATTTGATGATTGTTGTCAAAACTCGTCTGTTAAGGTATTTTTGCTGTCAGTACAGCCAGTATGGCAGAAACAAATAAAAGAGGGGCAAATTGGACAACCGATGAGGAGCTTGCCCTAATGGAAAAAGCAAATTATAGAGACGATTCCCTCTTTGGAAAAGTGAAAGGTTGTGCTTAAGTTAAAATCGCCACAATCAGCCAAAACGATTGGCAGGAGATTTACGATATGTTAAATGCGTATGTTCTCGATATTTTCCCGCTTATTGAAAAGTTTTCAAAACAAAAATTGCCAGTTGTACAGCTTCCTAGTAACTATATATTTAATATATTGAACAGCTTAATGCGCATTTTATCGATATTTCATCTATTCATTGAAACCACATATTTTCATAATATGTAGAATTATCTTTACTTTACACGCTGTTCATAATTTGCATATCATATAATTCTAATTTCTTCCGTTACTTATAAGAAAACGATACAAAAAGAATTGGAAATAGTTGGAGATTAATATGTACATGGCATGTATATAAGAATAAAACAAACATGACAAAATTGCTTGAAAAGATATTTGCAACTTTTCAAACTATGTAGATTCAAATGAATGTGAAATCGAACTATACGTGCTGTAAGAGTCTTGTCTCACGTGAAATTATTTTCCAATCATCATAGATCGGGAATATTGTTATTACAGTAACTTTCATTCAGATTAGATTTCCAATCTTTTATAACAGTTAATTTCATTAAAACAATTTCCATATATGTTCATGCCAGGACAGAAGTACAAACATAATTTGTCCCGAAATCCTTTTCTGTCAAGATGCTTTATAAAGGCAACAGTAGTATACCGCTTTTCAATAGTCATAAATCGATTAAGCAAAAACAAATCCGGGTCACAAACCAAAACCGAGGGAAACACATCAACTATAAGAGGAAAACAACGGAACAACAGAAACACTGAACTGCTACAAAAACAAACGCCAACATACATTTAAACGGACTATAAACAACTGCGATATTTCTGACTTGGTACAGGACATATAACTGAAATTTATTGATTTTTAATTGATGAGGAGTAACTAGATTCGTTTTTAAAGTATTAGTAGTTAAATATAGTGCACAGCGTGAAAAAAAAACAACAGAAAAACCAAAACTAAAAGTGACATCAAAACTTTGTTTTCAACGTTTTTAAACATGACATATACACTTTAATAATTTATATAACAAAAACTTAATCAGGTAACCCTTAAAACTTGTATACCGATGAAAGATGTCTTAGGTGTAATTTTAAAATAAATTTCGCTTGAAAGGATTAGATAAGGACAATTTAAAGTTAAATTATTCAATATATTTTGTGATATTTATGTACATTCTATATATCTGTACATATTTCTACAGACTATTCAATTTGCTTTATATTTCCTATATTCATATGCAGTTAAACATGGTCTAGATGCTTGCAAAAATCATACAGATCTATACGATCGCACAGTTACGTACCTTTTACGATAACTTAAGGCGACTGTAGTTTACTTTATCTTATAATCCAACATCAAATTGAAGTATAATAAAAGTTTATTTTTATATATCTTGAGAGTATTTATCAGAGTTGGCACCCTATAATCAAAGTTCTGGAAAATCAGAGAAAGAATATCGAATGCACCTAACAAGGAAATTGCTTTAATCTTGATTGGTAACATCCTTGATTTTGCAATAATGTAAAAACCCTCTACCAAAGAATTATCGCTATACAACACAGAACATGGACAAAAATAAAAAGAAAAGTTATTTTTGTCGTTGGGTTGCTGTTACAAAGACATATAACCCACATATCCTTTTATTCACATATACATGAGTAAACTAAAATGTAGGTGATTTCAAACAATACTAGAGGCTCTAAAGAGCCTGTGTCGCTCACCTTGGTCTATGTGCATATTCAACAAAGGACACTCTCCAACATTGTAGAGAAATAGAATTCCTGACAAAAATCTCTGTTTTGTTGATACTGTATTGCTGATGATTTAGTCTGTTTAGTTTCTCTCTATCTTCTTTAGTTTTTTGCTCAAAACACAAAAGAGTGTTAAAAAAAATCCTCGTTTAAGGGCAATCACTCCTACAAAGAGTGACAGTCTTCTAACTATTTTGGTCAAATTTGACTTGTTAGTAGATCTGGACTTGATGATAATTTTCGTGATTTAAAATGTCTATTTATCTATTAAAATCATTAATCTCGTCAAATAGAAGCAGTTCAACATCAATTTGGCTATTGGATGGGAGCAACGAACGTTAAGGAGGGACTATGGAAATGGATCAATGACTTGTCTAAAGTTCAATATTCTAACTGGAATCCTGGCCAGCCCGATAATTACGGCGATGAAGAAGATTGTGCCAGCTTTTGGAAAGATATTAAATATAACTGGAATGACGCACCTTCCAATTATAGTGGTATAGGGTACATATGTGAGAAAACACGTGTAAGTAAATAATTCAATATACTAGTTGTTGATTTTTTTATTTTATTTAATAACACGAATAAATGTACATAACCATAAAACATGTAACCCAGAATGTTAAAATTGGAATATAGTAAAGTTTTTGCTTTCTTTTTATTAAGATATTCGATATTGGAATACTGTTAATTCTCATAGAAACCCATTTATTGTATAATTCTTAAGTATGCATACGAATTACGGACAGGAGCGATCATGACTTGAACAGCAAGCAAGCATGATGATCAGCTATTTCTACTGACCAAAATTAACTTAATATGATGAATATGGTTTGTTGCGGCTTCGACTTGTCCTCGAATAATTTTTTTAAATACTAGTAATTTTGTCTCGGGACTGTTTTATGACTGTCCAAAGGTTCACCTTTAATATGTTTGCTATTAAAATGAACTATGGACAAAGAAACTCAGTCTCCTCATCAAACTAAGTCCTCCACTCATGAGATACTGAGATATATGATTAACCATTCCTTTTTAGAGCTAACAGTAGTCTGGTTTTGTCCTTGCTATTAAGTTAACTTGTGTTTAAATCGGCTTTATATGTATTGATGCAACTTATGAAATATAAATGTGAAAGAGGGTCATAAAAGGCTGGCGTTCTTGAAGCTGAAAATATAGTATGATACAAAGATGAAATGAAAATTAAAGACAACAGAAGTTTACCGATGGTTTCTAGAGATCTAAGACTGCGAAAACATGTCTCCTTTGATTAGTGATTCAGACACGTTGTATTGATTAACCAATTAGTGATGATGACCGTAAAACTGGTGAATTGTCGATTTCAGTCGCTCTTACTCATATGCATGCTGAAGCAGTGTTTGCGTCAAGATCACACTACTATAAATAAAGTCCATATACATGTAGACAATAAGTCAATATAGTCTGTGTAGATAATCCAAATGGTTGTCAATAAGTTAATGAAATTTATCACAAGCAATTTTTTCTTCCGACTTCAAATAGAAGTTGTCAACAAAGTCCTACGTTACATGTAGGGCGTTATCTCAAAATGTGTCATTTTGAGTATTCAGGTTTCCCTCGATTTCGCTTGTTCATAATGACCCGGTCTCTCCTTTGACCTGTTTCTCTGTGCTAGCAAAAAGATCGTGAAATATTTGTCACTGGACGTTTAGAATTAATCGATTAATCAATTTGAAAAACTCTTCGTTTGACGTAAAGCAAACTATACATCAACCAACCAACCAATCAATCCTTTATTTTTATTCTGAAATATTCGTCAAACTTCACATTATACAAACTTCCTGTCAGTCAATCAAACCAATTAAGTAATCAGTCAACGATAAAGATTCGTCATTTTAAAATGTGTCAATCAATCGATCAACTAACTAACCCATCAATCGATCAATCTATCATATAAAATAAGATGGAAAGACCTCTACTCACATATGTGTAGTAAAACAATTGGTTATTTTATTATATACAAGTATAGGATTTGTTTAACACTGGTATTATCGTAATGATACCAAGAGATCTGAGATATTCATTTTGCAAATTATACAATTGTATCAAAAGTAAACACCCTCAAATCAGATTAATTGACGATAGTTGAATGTTTTGGTTTGGTTTTGAAGGTCTGAGATATGTCATATTTCAAAATTTTGGCTTGGATTCGAGCTTACCTATTGAAAGTATTCCAACACATTTTGTGCCCACTGAAGACAGTATCAAACTTTATTCGGTTCAACAGTTTTTTTTAAAGGTTATGTAAAAAATCTAAAAACACTCTTGCATCATTTCATTCAGCATTTTAAAGGAAGTTTTTTTTTATGTGCGGGCATTATGCCTTTAATTCTTTTAATTCACCAAAGGGCACGTTTAACACACACCATGCGGTATACATTGATAATTCATGTTGACAATGTAGTTATATATCAATTGTTAGTATTCGTAGTTTATCTTTGGTCATGCCTAAATCGGATTGTTTATTGCCAAATAATATCAAGCATTTTTTATTATTTTATAAATTATGAATATGAAATATTTTATGTTCTTTGTCTTGTCCAGGTGTTTTTAATGATTTTTTTTAAGAGTTGAAGGGTGTTTATTAAAAATTCATACGCAATATGACCATCATTTCTTACATGAAACGCGGAAAATTTACAAATATTTGAAATAAAAAAAAAATATATGATAGCCATATATGAATCTAAAAGTAAAACTTTTTGAAACACAAAACATCGGCAGAAATTATCTTGTGAAATGAGAGCAGTATCATTTCACGTGAAATCAATTATAATTCGTCATAAAGCTTAAATTGGCATTAGAAGATATCGATGGTGGAAAGATAGGTGAAAAGACCTTACTCACAGGTGTAAAATTACAATAATTGCTGTTATTAGATCTGTTATCTTTATATTACATTTATTTCTAATGAGTCGTAGAGAAACTGACAACAGTATTTCTCATACGGTAGTACTGATTCAATATTTGAATATGACGTTGCAAACGCTGTAAGTACACACCCGTTGCAAAATTTTAATGTATTGTTTGTCATCTGATCAAGCTGTTCCAATCAGACTCCTAAGTCGTATGCTTTTTATGGATGATTAAACCCCAAGTCAATCGGCGTAAATGACGTCATTTAACGACCAGCTCTACCTGTGACGTAGGAACAAAGTCATCGTACTGGAAAATGCACGAGTATGAAAGTCTTGAAAACATGGAAACATAAACAAACGACTTTCTTAAATTTTAATAATCGTTTAACTTCATCCTATAATATATATTAAGTATATTATTGTATATAGTTTAAACATGTCACTTATTCAGTTTTCTTCGTCTTTTACGCCAGTATTTATAGTGCGTCCAATTATGGGAACAGCAATAATAACCTTCATCTAGAACGCTTCGATCCAAAGAATTGCCAACCTTGTCCGATTAGAAAAGAAATAATTAACTGTTATATATTAGAAACCTATCACTCATATTTACATGTACAAGATATATTCCCAACTACTTTTTTTCAAAATGAATAAAATTTCCATCTTTTTTTAAAAGCATATGACGAAATCAAATGTAACGTCTATCAGCCAATAAAGGATAAGCATTTGTATGAATTGAACACCTAATGTAAATATTGAGAAATGAAATCCGCAACCTGGACTTTGGAATAGAAATATTGATGTTAACCATACAGAAAATATTTATCAAAATAAGCTTGACTATCCTCAGCAACAAATTTAATTGTTATTCTAATTTGGTCATATTACAGTATGCAGGTAATGCACAGCTATTTTATTACATTACGTACATTTTAAAAACAACTCATCACACTGATTACAATATCCAGCTTATGCATGATACAAAATCATTATAATTACATAAACTCCTTTTTTAAATTCTTCGCATAAACTTTTCTCAACTTTTTATTAGCAATATGCGGGACATTTCTAAAAACCAAAACGATACATTTATGTATTCAATATTCCGGTTTTGTAGATAGAAAAAAACGTTCGAAGCTGCTGAGGAAGTCTTTGTTTGAATAAACATATTTCCTCATATCAAAAATATCTGTAAAACTATTAGGAGATCCGTCTTTTTCTAAACGACTTATTGTAATTGATTATTTATATAGCCTGTAATAGGCTTTAATTTAATTTATATTTTGCCGGTATTCTAACCCCAGAATTGAACCAATAATTCGTTGTAAATATTGGATGTATATTTTTGAATTTAATCCGTTTTTATTCTTTATTATAGGCATAGGACATACTAAACAGAGTGAAACATTAGACGGGACGAGAGTAGATCATCAATTCAATAGATATATTCTATAAATAAATAAAAATATCTCAAGCATGTACAGTTTATCTTCAATTTTATTTTAAGGACTGTTTAACCTTTTGTTACAAGTAGGAATTTTCGGGTAATGCTTGAACTCTTTTGGGGTTGATAATGTAACACAGAAAGAAACATTTATGTAGTCAACTTTTTAGTCAAACAAACAGAACCTTATTGAATGTATTAAAATATTAACAAAAAGAAGCGGAAAATACCAAGGGGGCGTTCAAACCTGATAAGTTTTTGAGAAACTGACAATGCAATGGCAAAAAACGAAAAGACAAACGAGTCCACATCTCTTCAAACATTGTTTTCGTGTTGCCTCAACTCCTTCGCAAAGTTAAAGATTTCGAAAAAAAAACAATATGCGTTATATCCTCAGGATGTCGTAATCAATTTTCATCCAAAGGACCTGGTGAATTCTTGTAATTGTTATGTCCCTTTCTGTTATGAATTATGTAACCCAATACCCAGAAGGAATTAAGACCTAATGTCTCTTTTTTAGAGTCTTGGTCCATTGAAATAAAGTTGAGTTCATGGTCAAAGACATGTTTAAATCTTGACTTTCGCTTGTTATTGCTCTCCCTCAGAAACCTAATTACATATATCGACAAAAAGTATTTTTCCAAATTGTTTGTTTGGACATATCGAAATTCAATACATTTATTTCTAATAAGTCGTAGAGAAAATGACAACGCCGTGTCAATAGAAATTAACGGAAAAACAAATTACAAACCAGGGGACAGTTCCTTCTGAAATTCAGTTTTGATAAGAAAATCTGGATGAAAAAAGAAAGTAACAGAAACACTTCCAGTGTCTGGAGATACCCTATAATTTATACTTATCTAATTCCAAAAAAAACATAGTTTATGTTCTTTTTTAAAAGAAATAAAAGAGATAATCATTAACAACCGGTTAACTCTAAGTCATTTCTTTTCCGATAACCTTTAAACTTTGAATACAATAGTTTACCACAAAAATTAATACCTTACTTTACTCTGAATCCAAAATATATTTGTATTTACTAACTCTGGATTGAAATAAGGGAGATAATTTACCGCTTTGTTACTAGCGGTTACATATTATAGGTGGCTTATATCACCATACATCTTATTGTAAAATTTCAAGGGAGAAAAGATATTTATTACGGGTTATGAAGAGTAAAGATAAAAATCAAAAGTCAATTTCAGAACATGAACCTTGACCTTGACCTCAACTTCCTTTAGGTGAATAATGACAGGCAAACCAACATACCCGAGTTCTTTATCACTTAGGATTAATGAGTTAAACACTTATCACTTAATATGTCATATACAGATATGGAAATAACTCTTATATGGAGTCCCTGTATCGCTTAAGTTGAAATTTAACAGAATATCCGGAGGATATAACGAGGATGTTGGAGAAATAAATTTATTTGGTTGCAAAGGAGAAGCGAAAACAAGAACAACAGTGTATGGGGAGATCAATCTTGAAAAGAAAAAGTGTTCAGTGAAACAGGATGAGATTATGAAGTGTAGTAACTGTTCATTATCATATACCAAAAATCTTATTGACGTATTGAGAAACAAAAAAGTTAGTAGGAAAAAAAGAGTCGAAAGAAAGAAAAGAAAAAAGAAAAAAAATATTTGTTCGATCATTAATCAAAAATCTTTCCAGTTATCTCATTTTCTTTTAAAAAAAAGACACATTAGTATAAAAAATAGTAACCCTGTGTTAGATGCAAATGTCATGACACTCTTTCATACAATAAGGGAGATAGTTCCCAGAAGGTAAATTCAAGCGTCATAAGACATTTTACTTTACTTTGAGAGTTCCTGATAAAGGTAAATCAAGAAAAGCGCTTCGGACGCATGAAATTTATAACGTGTTGTTTTCATTTTTTACTTTTCACTGATTCAGAAAATGTATGGTTGATAGGCAATTTCATTTAAATTAAATGCAAAAAAACTACGTATGTCATTCCAGTTTGACCTTTATCAAGTTCATATTTCTTCCAACCTGATTAAAAAAACTAAAGGTTTTCGCGTTTACCAGTATGAAATTATTAACAAGATTTTTTTTACTTTAAATTGACCTCGTTTTCAAGGTCATAGGTCATGAATCTTAAATCAAAAGACACCAGGTCCTTCACATATATGGTTGAGAAGTTATACTGAGTTAAAATATATAAGGTAGGAAACTCCTATAAAAAGTCGTTTAAAACCCCTCCACTAAACATATTGAAGCTGCGTGATGTTGTAACCAATTATTTTGAAGAAAAATTTTATTGTTAACTGTTACGGTTGTGGGACAATATATAAGAAGCAAAAGGGTAAAAATTTAAAATATGACCTTGGTCAAATGTAAAAAAGAAATAACTCCCATTAGTTATTGGATCGCTTTGGTCGAAATTGATTGAAACATGCTGCAGATATAACAAACACATTTTTAACAAACATTTTGTCAATATCTTTTACGACGGTTAAAGAGGAAGAATTGATAGCAGGAAAACGTGTTCGATTACTGTAATTACTGTATGCTATCATGAGCCAAAAATCGTTTCGATATGTCGTGAAACAAATAGACGGCGGATAAAAAAAATGTAATCAGACCAATTTCTAAAGGTCCTTCTATGGAAAGTAGGAAGACCTAACAAGTTCACAAAAAATACATAAAGAACTCATCAACATGAACACCATGGATAACCAGGGATGATATTGTAAAACATGTATGAGACAAGGAAATTAGGTCACGTTTGTTCACGTTTAATTTGCACGCACGATAACTCAGCTTTTTTTTAAAATATGGTCTTTCAAAATGGTCTTTATCTTCTGATTTGTGGTGATTGTTTATTTTTCTTCCACTCCTTTTTGTCTTTTGTTGTATTATGGTTTTAGAAGATACTAACAAGAAATTTGACATAATATCGAACAATTATTGCGCTTTCGAAACTCATCCTGTTTAACCCAACACATTTATATGAGTATATTATTGATATGCATAAATTATATATTTACGCGTATATTGTTGATATTTTTTATATACGCATTTATTGTTTATATATAGATAAATTTTGTAAAAAGATACGTGTATATAATTCTTTAGGTGACCAAATAATATGCATGTATATACAAATGATATATATGCGAATAAAAGTAGAATATACGCATATATATACGTATATTATTTTGTCTTTGATATGGTAAGGCATTTAACATTGTATATGAGGAGCTGATGCCCATTCGTTAGCACCTGAATTAACCCCGTTTTTTTTGGTAAGGGTTCCTGAACAGTTACTCATAATATGGTTTTGTTTTTTGTGTTTTCTTGAACTTGTCCTTTTTTCTATTTTGGCCATTGTGTTGTATAGTCTTTAATTTTCACATTATACAATATAACCAGTAGGCAACATTATTAAGAAAAAGTAAACGATGTTTTCGTTAATATCTCAACTTGAAAATCTGTTAGTTTATGAAATTCATTGTATTGATCGTATATATAAAAATAATTTTGGTCTCTCAACTTTTAACCTCATCAATGTTTAAGTTGAATTGTGATTGGTTAAACCATGCTCGTCTCAAATACACTCACTTTGAACCCGTCTTCTGTAGAAAACAGAGTTTTCATGGACACAAGGAGTTAGTTCAACCTTGGGGTGGGTATGGGCTTATGACAGGGACTTTAATTGAACATATTGTAATGTATAAAGAAAAAGATATCTACTCATTGTTCAAATCCGTTTGGTAACTTGAAGTTCTTTACATCCTTGTCCTTACATGATTGGTATAGATAGATGTCTCATTAGCAATCATATCACAGTTTATTTAATATTACCACGGTTTATAAAACTTTTGGTGAAATGTACTACATGAACGCAAATAAATCCCTTATAAGTATGTACTTCATTAGTAGATTCCATTTATATCGTAAACGTGTTAGTAAGGAAGTTATAACATACTTGATGACAATTTGTTAACTGTATACCGTACCAGCAGCATAAATCCTGAATATAAAGTCGCAAAAAATAAATACCTTGAAAATTATGATATAGTTTATAAATACTATAAACAAATACATGACATAGGAACAAAGAAAACTGACTACTTATAGTGGGAAAAAGTAGAAGACTTGGGATAACACGAATGTAAACGCCTGCTGCCAAATTCAAAAAGTTGTAATGATTGAAGCGCTGATACACTTGGATAAGCAACAATGCTTTGAAGGTCAGTTTGCCTCCATTGACAGTTATGATTTTTATTCCATGTATAATCCACTACCACACAATCTAATTAAAGAGATGTTTTCCAATTAAATAAAAAAGGTCTTTAGATAAATGCAACTATGTCTGTGGCAGTCGTTACAATTCTGTTTTTCTTCAGGTATACATAGATATACATAGATTGGACTTGAAATGAAAAGAGACGGAATATACCGAAGGGATATCCAAAGAAATTATGATAACCATGATTATTTTTGTTTCTTGCTTGATAATATTTATGTTTGTTTTTGAGATTAAGTGTGCCGACAGTTGATTGGTATTCCTACGGGTACTTACTCTGTCTTTCTTATTGCAGATGCATTCCTTTACTGCAAAGAATCCCAATCTATTGAAAAAATCATTATGTGATGTCCAGAAACCTTCAATTATTCAATATTGATTAAAAGGATGTCTGAAGTTACTTCACTCCGGAAAAATATCAAAAACATAGTTGACCTTCATTTTGTCAACGGATACAAATATAAATTACTTTCAGCTTTGAAAAGGATTATTTCAATTGGTTACTGTAAACAACGTAAAGCAGCATTTTTCAATTAAGAATGTACCAATACTCATGAAAAACAAAATAAAAATCGTCGAAATAAAATATAGCCTCGATTTTATAATGGGAAACAACATACAAAATATTAAAAGGATAGGATTAACGATGAGTCATTGCACGAATGTCCGTTGGTTTACTGTAAATGTTCAGTTAACACTAATTTATCTTGTCAATGACGTGAGGTTTCAACTCAACTTTTTTTTAAAGAATTCTCAA